GGGACAGTGGTCTCCTGCATGTCTTCTCCAGACTCTCTGCCCCTTCTCCCCAACTCTGCAGGCCCCCTCTGGGCAGGCACTGTGCCCGACCCCCAGCCAAGTCCCCCTGCTCCTAGCCCTGCCCAGAACAGCCACTATTACCACATTGGTCCACCTTCCTCTTCTGCTTTTCTTTAAAGACTCATTTATTTATTTGAGAGAGAGAGCGAGAGTGAGAATAAGGGGTGAAGGAAGGGGAGAGAGAATCCTCAAGCAGACTCCCTGCTGAGCGTGGAGGCCAATGCGGGGCTCGATTCCAGGACCCTGAGATCATGACCTGAGCCAAAATCAAGAGTCTGATGCTCAACCAACGGAGCCACCCAGGCGCCCTCTCTTCTGCTTTTCTAACAAGGCAGCTCATTGGCCAGTCTGGGGCTGGGTCCAGCCAAGAAGAGGCGATGCTGCCTGCAACATGCTCACAAAATGTGGCTCTGGGAAGACAGTTTCAACAAAATCACTGCCCTCTCTTCTGACCTTTGCAAGGGCATCCTCCAGTCTGCCCCAGGGGCTCTCTGCCAGTTCACCTTACCTGGATTTCCAGGCAATTCCCCCAGGAGCTGAGTCAGCTGGAGGGACCAGGCCGTGTCTCTCTGCCTGGTGAGATGCCGCTAGGCTGGCAGGCTGGGAAGAACGGCCTCAGTGGGATCACCTCGACTCCGGTCCCCATCCCAGGAGTATTGTGTCTACTGTGAGCCAGGCAGCAGCTTACATGCCCAGCCCTTTCAACATGCTTTGTAGGTTGGTATGATGAGGCCCGTTTTTCAGATGTGGAAGGAAACCGAGACTCAGAAGTAAGTAAATATGTTTTAACAACTACTAAGAGGTGGATCTGGGTTTTGAGCCCAAATCTGTCTGATTCCCAGGCTTGCTGTCTCCCCAGTTAGATGCCAAGATACACAGACCTCTCTCCTATTCCTGGAGGGCATGTCTGGCTTTCTTTCCTTCCTTAGCCCAGAGGAAGAGCCTAGAGAGACTCAAATGGATAGGGTCAAGCATGAGGCAGACGGAGGAGGGGAGACATTCTGGCTCTCCTGTCTTCTCAGAGAGCTTTCATTCACCGATTTTCTCCACAATGGAGAGGCCGGCTGGGTACTGGGCTGGCAATTGCTTGTACTTGTTATAACATGATCCTGATACCCTCCAGGGACACAGAACCCAGGGTCTTAAACAACTGAGTTTTTAAACCCTAGCTTACACCTGCCCAGTCCTAGCCATCTGAAAACGTCCGGGGGTCTCATGAGGAACTTTAGCAATGGTTGAGAGTATTTTCATAGAATTTGAGGGGAAGGAATGGGGCTCCATGAAGGGCACAGCCAACTGACTTGGTCAGAGCAGAGCAAAGACCCACCACCCCCAAGAAGGATCAGTGAGGGAATATCTGGTCCCTGAACTGAGTTCAGTGAACTAGAGACAGAGTATGTATGTGTAACAGCGGTTCACTTGGTGATGTGTAGATGGTGGTGATTTGGCCGTGTGTGTGTTTGTGTGTGTGTGTGTGTGTGTGTGTGTGTAGTGGGGGAGGAATACCAAATACACTATCTGGATTGTAACTCTCAGTCAGTTCAAACCCAGCTTTTGCTCATGGACAATCACAAAATAAAAATAAAAATAAAAAAAGCAATTAACTAGAGAGAGTACATCTAAAATACTTGGGGATCTCTGGACACGTCAGAGGTACAGGGTCTGGTGCTCACCATAGTAACAGCCCTTTCCTCTTCCAAGCGTGGACTGCCGGGTTCCCAGTGGCCAGTCACGGACCAGGAAGCAGGAAGCCGCAGAGCACCGTTTTGTTGATGTAGGTGCTCCTCGGGGCTCCGCCGCTCCGGGCACTCGCAGCTCTTTCTGTGCCCCCTCGTACCCCATCTTTCATTGTGCCAGTGCAAGGCTGCAAACTGATTATATCCTGCCATATTTTTGGCTTTAAATTGTCCTTTGTTTTACAAAATAATGTTCTGAGGAGTTGGCAGGTTTTTTTTTCTAATGTCCTTACCTGGCAAAATAAAAAATGATCAACCCTCTATTTCCCTAATTGTTTGGAAATTTTACTGGTCGGTGAAATCCAAACAACCGGAACCCCTAATGAAAACTCTCCTGCTTGTATCCCACGGGGGGAGGAGAAGAGTGGGGAAACTGAGTCAGGAACATCCCATGCCCCCCCGCCCCACCATCCTCAATCAAGTGGGAATCTGCCATCTGGGAAAGAGGTAGTGGATTTTTTTTTTTCCTTTCAAAGCTGCCTCTATCTTCTCAATAGGTGAAGGGATGCCCAGTTGTTCACATTCATGTTTTCTAACAGGATCTGCAGTTTTTCTATGACTTGGCACAGCCCTCAAGAAAACATCCTAAAATCTTAATGCACGGCGATATAAAGCAGCATCCTCATAAACCAGCAGCATCACATTTTCACAGGAATCCAGGGATCCATAAAGGACAGGGGCAGGTGAGAGCGCGAGTCCTTTGCACACACATCCTGAACCTCCAAGTCTGTTTATCCATAATTGCTATGCAAGTATAAATTAGAAAAACAAACGCATCCTGCCTAGAAATGGTGACACCAACCCTGTAAATAATTATAATTTAATCTTATAGCAAAGAGTTCTGAATGACTCCCCTAACGATTTCCTCTGCTTAATTCCTTCCCCACTGAGTGACTTAATAGGAAAAGGAATAGTCTTTCAGATTTGTTTCACTCCAGAAGTTTGGACAACGTGTGGATTCACACCTGGGCGGGGGCAGAAGCTGTGGGATACCATTTGGCCCACAGATAAACAAGGGAGTCGAAGAGGCCTTGGGACTAGAAGAGACAGAACTGGCAGGCCTCTTCATCTTGGCAACTGTTTACAGAAGCAAAAACTTGGGAACGACCTAATAAGAGATCCGATGAGTAAACCCTTGTCGGTCTGACGAGGGAATGCCCCACAGCCGTGGCAAGCCTTCACAAACGTAAGGTGCGTGACGGAACGTGCTGTCATGGCTACAATGATGGCCTTCCACGTCCAACTGACCTGGGGTCAAATCCTGGCTCTGCTCCTTACTAGCTGTGTGACTTCAAGCAAGTGACACAACCTCTCTGGACCTCATTTTCCTCATCTGTAAAAGGAGGAAAAGGATGCTACCTACTTCACAGAGTTTCTATAAGGAAGAAATGAAATTCCAGCCGTAAGAGCTTAGAACCAGCCTGCGACACATTGGTAACAAATGCTCAACAAATGATGCTTATTATTATGCCTCTTATGTTTTGGAAGCATCTGCAATAATATAGGGAAATTTTTCATTATATAATGCTAAGTTAAGAATATATAACCACAGATAGATTTTAGGATCCTAATTTTGCAATATTAAAACATATATAAGTAGCCAGCTAGCTTGATCCAAGCAAAGCAAAAAAAGGCCGAAGGGGAGTACATCAAACTCTTAATATTTCATATTCATTTCTCAATGCCTTTTTATGTTTTCTATAAGAAGCAGATGTGTTACATTTACAGTCACAAAAACAGGTATTTAACAAAAAGAGGCAGGGGACGGAGGGCCTCAGGCTGCCAGGGCACTGAGGTCCCAGTGCAGAAGGGGGGGCACCCAGGCTTTTGTCCCCACTCCTAGCACCACATGTCCAGCTCCTGCCCCAGACTATTGACAGAACAGCCACCTACCCACAGCTGTCTGTTTTTGGCTCACATGTGCTTCTCTCAACTCCCCATTCAGGGGAGTGAATGATCTGGCCAAGTTCACTCAACAAGCTTATGACACCAAGGTCTTCTGACTCCCAGGTCAGATTGCCTTCCACCGTACCAGGAGATTTGAGTTCTCGGGGCTACACCGTTCCCCAAATCTCCAAGTCCATACTGGGAAGATTTCAGTTCCCATTCTATCTCCCTGAAATAGTCAAACTTGGTTCCTACTGTGGGTTTGTCTGGTTTTCTCACCCACCAAGGACCTTGTCTTACACAGCTGATGTTTCTACCATGTGGCATGACACCTTGTCTGAAAGAGGCATTCAACAAATGTGCCCCTGCCTCCTGTTTGCTTCCTCCCCCTCCCTTCCTCCCACTCACACTGACTGCCACGTCTCCTTCCCACGCACTGTCCTCCCCTGACTCTCAGAGTCCTCGGGGACACCTCCTCTGCCCTCCTCCCCTGCGCCACAATGAAGCCTGCAAGATGCCCCCCTATCTTATCTGAAGCACATCTTGACACACCCTTCTGTGGGCACCTGAGGTACGGACACAGGTCCCCCTGCGCCCTCATCCTGATAACACAGCCACGAGGGGACGACAAGAGAATATTCTAACCCCATACCACCATTCAAGGCCTGTCACCCAAACAGGAAGCTGGACACTTCTGGAAGCCAACCTCCGCTCAGGCATGTCCTAAGGGTCTAAGTCTGGGACAGTACGAGCAACTAAGGCTGAGAAGTCGCGTCATCCTTCTCCTCCTGAATCCATCAACACAGAGTCTCCATGGCTAGTAGAGCAAGCCAGAATGACAGGGAGAAGGTTAGTCCTTCCCATCAGAAACCCAGACATAACGCCTTGCCCGGTGCAGGGCCCTGGGAACTGCCACTTAACGATTCTGTTCCCTTTTTTGGATGCTAGAATATGCCCTCCACAATTGCAACTGTACTTCAGTCATTGCACTGAGACCCATGGCCTGAGAAACAGGATGTCCATGGCCTGAGAAACAGGACATTTTTAGACTCAGTGCAAGTCACTCCACCAAGGCCCAACATGAAATTCTTCAGCAAGGGTATACTTCAAATCAGATACCAAAATCATTGTAAAAATGGACCCCGGCTCTGAAAACATGCAGTGAGTTTTCATCACAATGAGAACCACACTCGTCAACTGTGGGTCCAAGATGCGGCAAAAGGGCCTCCGAGCGCAGGCCCCGCCGCTGAGGAGACTGTGCATCCGGGTGAGCCCCAGTTTCTGGGGACCAGGGAGGGGGCAGGGCAGTGTGCTTACCACAGGGAGGAGCCTTCAGTGCCTGTAACTTCCAGAAAGTCGTAACCGTCCTCTAGCTGGAAGTCGATAAAGACCAGGGCGATGGTATCTCCCAGCTCTGCCAGGATGGTCCATGTGCAGTCGGCATTGTTGTGGTACTCCGACGGGAAGTGGGGGCTAGAGATGATGCCACTCTGACCCCGCAGCGTCCCCCCGCAGGCATCGTCAGCTGTGGGCACAAAGACAAGGGGCTCACGTGAGCTGGTCTTGTTCTCAGGCCCTGGCACTCATGGGCTTCACCCATGACAGGCAGGAAGGGTCCCAGCCCGGGACACACAGGCAAGATGGGCCGAGAGCCGAGTCCGACCTGGCCTAAGAATAACGCTGCCAGAGACTTCCATCGCCCTTACCATGCGCCAGGCCCTGTTCTGAGAATTTCAGATCTGACTGTCCTCACTGAACAGACGAGGAAACCGAGGCACAGGGAGGTCATGTCACCTACTTAAGGTTACACAGCCACAGAGCCGGGACTGAACTCTGACATTCAGGGCACCTTCGGGGTGCCACACATACTGCTGTGTCGTGAGCAAGGAAGGACTCAGCTCTCACCTTTACTGCCACGGTCACCGCTGTGGGGAACAGAACATTTCTTCCCACCTGATCTTAGGAAGCCTCCAATGTGGGGAAACAAAACGAAAATGCAACACAGATCCCTGGGGCGACACTCAAAAGGGCTGCCTGGCCAGACCTCTGCGATCCTCCATCCTACCCTTGTCTGTGGGCCGACTCTGTTCTCACACCATGCACGGTCAGCCTGCTGCCCTTCACCCACACTGCTCCCTTGGCCTAGGATGCCCTCTTGAGGCCCGACTCCAATGCCGCCTCTTGGGAGAGCCTCATGCCCTCCAGTGTTTAGGGACTGCTCTCTCCTCTGGGCTCCCACCGCAACACATCCGATGGTAGACACAGTACATTGCTCTGTCCAAGAGACCCATTCATCTGTCTGTCTGCCACACTGGTTCTGAGCTCCGCTGGGAACCTCCAAGGGCAGGGACTGCATTTTACTCCTCCTGCCACACAAGCCAGCAGTCATACCACTCCGGCTGAAAACCCCAGTTGAGGCTTGATGTTCCAAAAAAATGATCTGGGGAACATGCTCTGACATAGAATAGTTAAGAGGCCTGGCTTTGGAATTATTGCAGACGGTAATCTGAATCCTTTCCCTGCTGCTCACTACCTGGGCAGTGTAGGGGAAGTCATCCAAACCCTAAGCCTGTTGTCCTGGAGCCTGTATGTACGCGAGTGAGTGTAGTACACTTAGCATGTGTTGTTAGAGGCAGGACTATGTGGGGAAGGAAGGAGAAAGGCAGTAGCCATGTTCCAACGTGTGCCAGAGGCAGCCTAGTAACAATAACGAAAGCTCATATTTCTTGGCACTTAAACTACACCAAGCACCATTCTAATGATGCTATGAATTTCATGTAGTCCTTACTTTGACCCTGTAAAGAATCATTCCCATTTTGCAGCTAAGGAAACCAAGGCATGCAGAGATTTGGGCATTTGCCGCAGGTGACACAACTCACAGTGACTGAAGGAGCTGGAATTCTAAGCCTGATTCCAGGGCCTGTGCCCTTAACCAATACAGCCTCCCATCTCCCAGGAGTACAGTTCATACTTGGGAGGACATAGATAAAACAGCAAATTACTTTGCTTGGGTGAGTCAGTTTGGGAAAAGTTAACAGAGGAGATGCCCTTAGAGCTAGGTTTTGAAGGATGAATAGGAGTTCTCTAGATAGAGAAGAAAGGGAACGGCATTTAAGAAAACAGGGAGACGAATGTCATAAGCCCAGAAGCACAAAGGCACACGGCATGCCTAAGATAAGTGGTTCTAGATGGCTTATCACAGAGCGAACCGAGAGGAATGGTGGGTGATAGTACTGGAAATGGAGAAGGAGCCACATGACAGAGAACACTGGGCCAAGAAGATTTGGAAGCAGCGGAATATATTGGAAAGAAAATGGATTTGGGGGTCAGGAAGGCCTAGATCTGAATTCAGCCTCCACAATTCCCCAGCTTCAATTCTGGCAGGTTCATTTGGCTTTCCTCTACGATGGTTTGCTGGGATAACTGAATGGGATCGTTAATGGGACAGTGCCTAGTGTCAGCCAGTGGCTGGCCCATGTAGATGCCCAACAAGTACTAAGTTCTCCTTTTCCTTCCACTTCATCTTGGGAATCAAAGGTAGTGAAGGAATATGATTAAGTTTGCATTTTAGAAAGATCACTGGGGCCATGGCACAGAGGAGGTCTGAGTCAGGGGAGTGGGCAGGATGCTTTTGGTAGGACATAGTCACCAAAGTCCAGGGGAAGCCAGATGACATCGGAGCTGAGGCCATGGGGACTGCAGGAAGAGCACTGATTTCAGAGAGATTTAAGAAGCAGAATCCACAGGCTTTGGCAGTTGGGAGGGATGAGCTCCCGGTTTGGGGCATGAGAATCTGGATGAATGAAATGTACCTCCTGTGACAGGGAACCCAGGAGAAGGATACCTCGTGGTGGGGAAGGCAAGCAGGAGTCCAGTTTTGGATCCCGGGGCTGAGTGTATATGTGGGATGTCCTGGTGGAGAGACTGAGCTGACAGCTGCATATGCAGAAGCAGTGTGGGGTGGAGGTCAAGGTGAGTTCATCCGGGGGTCCTGAACTATTCTCACAATGTCATTGTACAGGGTCAAGATCTATTTCAAGAGAATGAGCCTATTTCCAAATGCCAACTCTTAGCGTGAAGAGGTTGTCTTAACCATCAAAGCCTGGATGAGTGGCAGTGGCAGTGGGAGGAAGAGAAGGGACAGAAGGGTTCAGGAGCCAGGCAGGGAAGAAGAGAAAGGACATGGTCTCCACCCGGGAGTGGCCAGCGAGGGAGAGGAGGAGGCAAGGAGGAGGTGGAGGTTTCTAACAGGGCAGCATTATGATGCTGTTTGGGTGAAGGCGGGGGGTGAAAGAGAAGCAGCTCCTGCGAGACAGTGATGGCCCTCAGCACTCCCATGCTGATTATGAGCTGCTGAGGGCTAACAGGTGGCGGTGCCCACAGAGAGCACGAGCCGGGGAGCCTGCGAGGCTGGGAGTCAGCGGGATGAAGAGCAACGGCGGCTCCACAGGAGTAAAGAAGGCCCGGGAAGAGCGACATTTAATGATCAGCAGGCAGAAGCAGAGGCCCCTGAAAAGAAGAGCGGTCAGGGTCAGGCAGGAGGGGAACTCCGGGAGGGGGGATGGGGGAAGGGAGCAGTGTCAGGAGTGCGGGACGGAGTGGCAAGCCCTGGTCCACGCTGTCCCGTTTCCTCGGGCCTGTGAGTCCGGGTCAGCGTAGCAGCCGGCCATGCTGGAGGGCAGCAGGTTGTGGGGGAAGACAGTGACTCAGGCCTCTCTGTGGTGCTGGTCTTAGAAACCCAAGCAGACATCCTACACTGTTCGCAAACCTCAGCCACCCAAGCCCACCCTCGTGCTCTCCGCCCACTGACCCTGACCTTCCGGCATTTCCTTCCCAGAGAGTGTCGGCACCATCCACCCAGTGCCTCGTGCCAGAGGGCTGGGGTCATCGGCCCCCTCGCCCACATGCCACACCTAGCCGGAGACCAAACCCTGTCCTTCCTTGTAAGTAGCTCTTGACCGGGTCTCCCATCTGCCCTGCACCTGCTCCACGTGAAGCCACGCGACCGTCCAAGTCAGCCACAGCCATGAGGCCTCCCTCCTGGTCTCCAAACGTCCCTTCTGCTCCAGCCCATCATTCTTCACACAGAAGCCTGAGTGATCCTGGAAACACAGACCTGAGGACACCCCTCCTCTCTGTAAGAACCTTCAATAACTCCCACTGTCACTCATGAGAGTAGAACATCCTGTGGCTTATAAAGACGTACAGGGCCTTACTTCACACCAGTCTCTCCCCGCCCACTTCCCACCGCCACACTGGCCTCCTTCCAGCTCTTCTGATGTACCAAGCATCTCCCTGTTCCAGGACCTGGAGGGTGCCAGTTACTCTTTCTGGAAACTTCTTCCCTACCTCGTTGGGCCTGGCCGGCCCCTCCTCAGCCTTTAGGTGCCAGTCTAAGTGTCACTTCCTCAAGGATCTTTCCAGATACAGAAACCCCTTCCCCCCATCTTATGCTTTCAGAGCAGGACATACTTTCCCATAATGAATCATTTTCCCAAACTCATTGATGGGTTATGTCACTTATTTAATGTCTAGACTGTAAACTCCATGAGGGCAGGGGCCATGTCTGTGGGCAGCGAGCCTGGGCAGAGGCTGCTCTACTTGGTCACTGTGGCTGGGTGGTGTGCAGCCCGTCATGGCCCTAAGTGTCTTCTGCCATCCAGGAGCCGCCACACAGCCGCCGCCTGAGGCAGGGGCTTTGCGAAGTTCGTTCTCCATGTGAGGTGTAAGTTTCACCCGAAGGAACGTCTTTTAGAACAACATACCTTTGCCTCTGGACCCAGAAGCTTGGTGGCAAGTCTCTCTTGCTGGGAAGGACAAAGGACTGTTGACATCAAGCAAAGGGTTTAATGGCGCTCGATGGAGCCTCGGGGCTACTCAGCTCAGAGGAAATGAAAATGCCCCCAACATCTACCACTTCTCTTGGCCTATGGCAGGCACTCAGTAAACAGCTGCTGAACAAGGAAATGAAACAGAACGGGGAAGCTCAGAGAGGTTAAGTAACTTCCCTAAGGTCACACAGTGGATGGCCAGTTAGGATTCCAGTCGAGTCTCTCCGGAACCAGGACTGTGGCCTCTTTCAAGACACCACATGTCCCTGCTTTTTTTTTTTTTCATTTTTATTGTTATGTTAACCACCATACATTACATCATTAGTTTTTGATGCAGTGTTCCATGATTCATTGTTTGTGCATAACACCCAGTGCTCCACGCAGAATGTGCCCTCTTTAATACCCATCACCAGGCTAACCCATCCCCCCACCCCCCTCCCCTCTAGAACCCTCAGTTTGTTTTTCAGAGTCCATCGTCTCTCATGGTTCGTCTCCGCCTCCGATTTACCCCCCTTCATTCTTCCCCTCCTGCTATCTTCTTCTTCTTTTTTTTTTTCTTAACATATATTGCATTATTTGTTTCAGAAGTACAGATCTGTGGTTCAACAGTCTTGCACAATTCACAGCACTCACCATAGCACATACCCTCCCCAATGTCCATCACCCAGCCACCCCATCCCTCCCACCCCCCACC